AGGCTCAGTACACAGGAAGGAGGGCCACCACTTCACTGCTCCATTTAGCCTTAAGAGGGAGCACATCTGAGTTTTAAAAATTATCTCAGAGGTGTAGCTTCAACCTCATTTCTGACACACTTTCCCCCATTCTTCAGCCATTTGTAAAACTTATGATTTTACAAAACAAAACTCCCATGTGTCTGGAATTTTTTCCTGCCTGGACTACCCTTTCCTTTTTATATGCACAACATATTTCCTTCAAATCTTTTCTCAAATATTTCTTCTTCCATGATGATTTGTCTGTGCCCTACAAGCATTGTGGTTTCCTCCAGCTCACAGCAATCTAAGAGCACTTTGGACAACAGTCTTAGACCTTACCACATAGGATTATTAATATATTTTTAGCTCTCTGTCTTCTGCACAGGACTATGAGCAACTTGAGAGAGTAGCCTGTTTATCATTGTAATTCCATCCCTGGTATGGTAATTGGCATATAGCAGATGGTTGACAGCTGTTTCCTGATTTAATAAATATTTCTGTGAGATAGGCAGAGCAGGTATTTTCAGCAATATGTCCCAAAAAAAGAAACTGAGACCCAGAGGGGAGAAATGCCTTGCCCATAGTTACACTGCTGATTTGTGCCAAAGTTGGGACTCATACCCATGGCTCTCAATTCCTTCTCGTATGTTTATTCCACATAACACAGAGTTTCTACCCTGTCTAGGGGTAACATCTGAAATAGCTGGGTTCTTTGGAATAAGAGAGATTCTTATGTTGATCTGTAAATCCCTCTGTTAGAATAAACTTTTCAACAGACTCAATTTGCCCAGAGACCAGTTTCTTGCTTAGAAAATAAAGGCAGTCCTTGTTATTTCAAGTCCCTGATTTCCACATGAAACTGGCAGAAATGAAATAAATGTGAGGAAACGTCTCAGGAATACTTTTTTTTCCTTCCCACCTTCCAGTTCAAATGTTAGTTCCCCTGTGAAGCCCTGCCACACATCTGGGTCCGTGCCCCCAATCTCAGTGAACCCTGTAATTTTTAGCTCATAACACTTCACTGTTAGCTTTGTGTGAAACTTCCATTATGCCTTATAGTACGGTGGATGCTGTGACCTGTCTTTCCTCTTAAGATGTGAGCTCTTTGAGAGCAGAAGTTGATGTCCCTGCATGAAGTGCACAGAGTAATTTGGGATTGACTGAGGACTTACACTATTATTTCCCTCTCACCTCATTGTAAGCTTTCTCAGAGTCCAGATGAACAACTCCATCTCTTCTATGCTCTTACTACTGTTCATTAGAGTGAGATTCACTAAGTGTGGCTCTGTGAGTCAGTTGCTAGCTTAATGAACAAGGAACTACAGGTGGAATCCCCTAGAGCAAAAGTCATTACAAAAAAGACTATGTGAAACAAGCTATCAATGCTTGGTTGATCTGATTACATTAAGTCCTATACAACTAACAGTCTGGCCCAAATGCTTTCCCTGGTTCCTGGCTATTTCAGAGGCAGAGTCTATAATGAAAACACGAGTGCAAGCTATTTGCATCTAAAAAAGGAAGAGAAGAATTTTACTGATGAAGTTTGTGGGAAGAGGGTTCCTGACATGCAGAATTTAGACTTCAAGTAGTTTGCCTTTGGAACATTCAAAGCACATAAAACTGACTCAGTCATACAATCAAAAATAAAGGAAGGCATCATGGTCTTAATATGATAGTAATCCTCAATTGGTTCAGAGCACCACTTTCCTCTTAATGATTCAACATGGAGAAACTAGTGCCTATTTCCTTTGAGCTAAATGTAGGACACTATTACTGTGTAACATAACACATAGCTGACATTTTGTGCAATGTATTCAATTTTACAAAATCCCATTGCGTCAAAGGTTTCTTGAGTTCCAGACCTGCATTCCAACTGCAGCTTGTCATGTCCACCTCAGATTCGTTATTTAAAATTGATAGCTCACACCTTCCCTTATTAGAGGAAATGACGTGATGTAAAAGGGAAAAAAAAGGTTTTTCATGAACAGAATGACTTGGGTCTCTATGTACCAGCTCTGCATTTATTGGTGGTATGACTTTGCTCTATTAAAACTTCAGTTTACCAACTGTAAAAATGGGGATATTAACAACAAAAACAAAAACACTCCACAGAACACGAAGAAGTATATCAAGCAATTCACATGCCTTATCACATTTACTTCCTGCAATGACCTGTGAGGTAGGCACTGTTATGATTTGACTCATTTTACAGAGGAAGGACCAGGACCAGCCTTACTGCAGAACCCACCTTCTTAACAACAGTGCTATATTATGCTTCTGTAGTATATACACATGAACATTGAAGATTAAATGAAACAAATACATGTGAAGCAATTAGCACAGTGTATGGCATATAGCAAATCCCCAAGACATGTAAACTCTCTATCCCTTCCTCTCCAAAATCTGTCCTTCTTCTCCTATAATGAGTTTTGCTGTTGTTGTTGTTGTTAATGGCACCACAATTCACTCATTCTCCAGGGAGAATATGTCAGGGACATTCTCAATGCACTTTTCTCCTCAATACCCCATATCCAATTGAACTTCAAATTCCATTGAAAAGCTCTCTCATATCCTACTTGCCCTTCTTCTTCTACTCTCACTTCTCACTGCCTTTTCTTAGACCCCTGTCATTCTTTCTGGACTATGAATGGGTCTGCTAACTAGTATTTCTGTCTATTTATCTTCCAGAGTGCAGCTAGAGATTTTAATTTAAAAAAAAATGAGATTGGCAAACACTTGCCAAATGTTCACCAAATCCACTTTCTCTTCTACTTGGTAATGTTTCTTTTCCCACCATGTCCATGTGACCTCATTCTAGTCAAAGTAAGGTCAGTAGAAATGAGTATGCCACTCAAGGCGTGGTCTATAAATACCTCCGATATACAACCTGTCATGTTATTTCTTCTTCTACTGACTTAATACAAATAAGCACAGTGGTCTTAAAAACCATGTGTTGCACCACTTGGAAATGAGCCACTTGTCAATGGGGAACACCTGCTTTGAACTTTAAGAAGCAAGAAATACACTTCTATCATGTTTGAACCATTATTCATTTTGGGGTTCAGCAACTAGTGTTATCACAGATTATCTTGTCATGTCACTCACTTTTTAAAAAAACATTATGTTGGTCCAGGGATGCATATCTACAATTAGATAGGAGTAATAAATTTAAGTGATCTATTATACAGCATGGTGGCTAGTTGACAATAATGATGATATATTGTATTCTTGAACAATGCTGACAGTGGATGTCAAATGTTCTCATCGCAAAAGGATAACTATGTGAGGTAACGCATTTACAAAGTAGCTACATTTAATCATCCTGCAATGTATATATACTTAAAATCATGTTGTACACAGTAAATACAACTTTATATGTCAATTAAAACATAAATAAATTTAAAAAATGCTTCCCTGTAACTACAGGATAAACATATTCTGTATCGCTTCTTGATTATTATCCCTTATCTGTCATGCAGAAATCCTTCCAAATAGGTACACTATTTGGCTATATTTCCCACCCCCTTTCTTTATCACTGCCATGTTCCAAAATCTTATTATTCCTCCTCATTCTATGGAAATGCTAACAATTGGGTCATCATTTTTATTATACCCCTGATACTTCCATTATCCTAGGCAACTTATTTGCTTATAGGAAACAGCCATACAACATCCTGAATCCCACACTTCCATTCAGGCACCAAGTGCCATCAATGCTACCTCTTGAACATATTTTATGTCCATATTCTTCTTCAAAACCTGATTTAGTGGAAAGAGCCGTAACTTGAAGCCAAAATAAGTGTTGTGAAGCCTAGAGATGTTTTACATAAGGTACCTAAGACATAGTAGGTGTTCAACACATAGTATAATACATATGCATAGTATATATAATACATAGTTTTCATTAGGATTATCATTTGAGTATTGTGGCAGCTTCTTAGCTAGGCACCTGATCTTCGGCCTTGCCTTCTTCCAAACTGCCTCCTACACTGCTCCCATAGTGATCTAACTTAAATGCAAATTTATTTGATTTCTTCCTCCACAATAAACTCTTTAATGGATCCTCATCATTTTTATGCCAACATAGCATATAAGCCCCTCTCCCCACCTCAGACTGTTTCCTTGCACGGTCTTCCGGTCCAGTCACACTGAACTTTTAGTCCTTCAATGTATCAACACTACCTTCTCCTCCCACTCTTCAAGCCTTTATGCCTGCTATACTCGCTCTCTGGAATATTTCCTCCCTGTCTTTTAATTTACTTCTACAGATCTTTTATGTCTCAGAAATCATTCAGAAGGTGTCTGGAATTTATTGTGGCTATTCCCCACAGACTCATTTCACTGTCCCTGCTAGATACTCCCATAGTATTCTCTATTTCCACTATCATGTCTCACAAAGAAGCATGGATTTTCTGATGTATGAAGTCAATTCACGAATACATGTCTTTGTGTACAGTATTTCTTCTGCCTGGAAACTCTCCTCTACCTCAGCCCTGTCTCTCATTTGTTTGATAGTCACCTACACTTCCTTCAAGATTCAAGGGATAAACTAGAAATTACCTCCTTTTGCAGCTTTCTTTAACCCATGTCATTTTGGATGTGACTTCTCCTGTGATTATATCACATTTTGCACATCCATTTCAGGAATTTTATATTATTGTGCAGCTATCTTGCACAGGTCTCTTTAACTGTAGTAATCAAGAGCATGACCTTATTTATCTCTGTAGCTCAGCAGATATCCCAGAACCTTAAACATAATAAGCACTTGTGAATGGGCTGAATCAGTGTTTTAAGTAAATAGGATAAAATCTACTTAAATTCAATAGATATATCTCCTTCATATTCAGATAGTCAATAGGACTTTTTTACTATATTATATATTATGCAACATTTGTATACAATGAACACATTTATCTGTATCCTCATAAACAAATATGATGCCATTAATAAAGATGAAGTTCTCTATATATCCATACCTGAATAATAGAAAATATTTTATAAATGTGTGTATCATCTTGAGCTGGGCTCTGCTAATTATCTATGGATTGTTCCACTTTTAGTATGGTGTTGCTGAAGTAAGCAGCAGGTAATGGGTTTTTGCTTGTATTTTTATGGTTGTTCTGAGGTCCCAAGATGAGGCAAAGCAAGTCTTCTTTCTAAATTGCCCTATTAACATGCCCATGCAATGCTTGGTCCAATTTTAGTAGGAAGCTGTCCTTCTGTAGTTTTCCCATGGACTCCAGATAAGATTCCTGAGGGTCAAAATAATAATAGGGGTGCTACAGAATAACACTTTCTGAAAAATTCTAAGTGTTCTACAGATTTTATTCAATTTGTGCTTTTCATATGCCTGAAAGACAGGCAACAGCTACATTATTATCAGACTAGACTTGTGACATGAAAAAGGTCACGAGGCGAATCAATTGTGGGGCTGTAAAACCAGGCAGGCTTTTATTTTTCCATTTTGAGCCTAGGTCTCCCTGCAGGCCCACCTTTCCTGGATTCAAGGTGCTACTGTGTAGGAAAACAATGGCTTCATCATAACTCTGTACTTCTGTACTTCCTCTATTCTGTAAATCAAAATAAGCACAAGGGCATTCTACATAGACTCTAATCTCATCAAACTTGACTTTCTTGTCAAGTTCAGACTCGAATAAAGGGCCCAATTATCATCATCTTCCCATTCATTCAACTTGATTTCAAGGCAGCTAATCCCTTGCTTTGCTTCACCCTCTGCCCTCCTCAACCTGCATCTTCTATTCTTTATATTTCAATATTCCCATCCCCCCTCTCCTTTATTCTGTCTTCTCTATCTCTCCTCCAAAACCCAAACCTATCCTTTATGCTTTTTTCTTTTTATTGTTGCTTCTCCTCTATCCTGTTCTTTTCATTCATTCTTTATTTCTCCTCACTGTTTGCAATCTCTACTGTGTTCAGATCTTTTCCTGCCCATTACTCTCTCCTTCCTCTCACTTCTCTTCTATTTGCTTACTGTCTTCTACCCATCCACATCTCCTCCTCATTATTCTGTACCTCCATCCACCTCATTCCATATACAGCCTCTCTTCTGTTTACATCTACTCCACTCCATTCTTTCCACAATTGTGTGAACTCTTATCTCTTTTTCAAACTCTTCTCTTTCCTATACTTTATTACAAGCATGCCTCTCTTCCATCTATTCCTTCACTAATGCTCTGTTTATCCAAATTCTCCTTTATATATTGCATTCATTTATATCTTTTCTCTGTCCTATCCTCCCCACCTTCATTTCAACCTTTATATATAACCTCATAACCTTTCATGCAATGTGAGAAGAGGTGTCTCTCTCTTCCTTTCAAGTGAAACTAACTGTAGTTTTGATAGCATCCCCTTTATGGTATTTATGAGAACTTGCTGTAAGTAAAGTGTTATTTCTATGGTGTCTTAAATCTTTTTCTTGCTACTGGATCTTTTGTACTATCTCACAAATTTGTGTCAGTCTTTCCTTTGAAAACAAAAAAAAATTTATTTAACCCCTGAATGTAGCTATGATACATCCCTCCCTTTCATTTTCAAACAAGCTTCTCAAAGGTATTTTCTATGTGAACTGTCTCCACTCCAACTCTTAGAACTCTCCATTGTACTAGCCACTCTATGGAAACAGTGTATGTGAAGAATACTAATATCCTCTATGGTACCAAACTTAAGACATACTTTGTAAAATGTGTAAGCAGGCCAGGCGCGGTGGCTCATGCCTGTAATCCCAGCACTTTGGGAGGCCGAGGTGGGTGGATCACGAGGTCAAGAGATCGAGACCATCCTGGTCAACATGGTGAAACCCCGTCTCTACTAAAATTACAAAAAATCAGCTGGGCATGGTGGCGTGTGCCTGTAATCCCAGCTACTCAGGAGGCTGAGGCAGGAGAATTGCCTGAACCCAGGAGGCGGAGGTTGCAGTGAACCGGGATCGCGCCATTGCACTCCAGCCTGGGTAACAAGAGCGAAACTCCGTCTCAAAAAAAAAAAAAATGTGTAAACAATAGTAAAGTACATGAACTTGCAGCTACACTACCATATTAATAATGCTGGCTCAACCATCTACTACCCAAGTGAACTTGAAAAATTATCTTACCCACAGTTTTTCATCCGTAAAGTGGGATAGTAGTACCTATCTCATACAGTTGTTAAAGCTGTTACAAAGAGTATAAAAGCAGAATGATTAGAACATTGCCTTTCATATTGTAAGTACTATATTGATGTTAATTAACATACTTATAATACTATTAGTGGTGTTATTATTGATAACTTTCATTTTTTTGAAACTTCACTCCAGTTTATCAGTCAAGATGGGTTAGGTTAATATGCAGTAGGAAACAATCTGAAAATCTCAGTGTCCTAATGCAACAAAAGTTTATTTCTCACTCACACTATCTGTGGATGGGGCAGGGGGAGCCACTCACTTTTACGTCATCTTCAATAAGGAGCATAGAATGATAGGGCCAAGACTACCTGGCATAACGCTACTTACTGTGGCCAGGGGAAGGCAACATGGCGCATTATGTATTGGATCTCGAAAGGCTTCCCATCCTCCCTCAGAGCTGACACATGCTATTTACACTCACATTTGGTTAGCCAAAGCAAGTCATTTGTCCATGTCGAACCTCATGGCTCAGGGAAGTATACTTTGTACCCAGATGGAGGTGAACTGAAAATATTGGAAACTGGCAATATTGACTGCCACACTTAGCTTTCAAAATACTTACTGCACACTGTTAACAGCTCCATGACATTTTCTTCCTGGTTTCTTTCATATCCAACTGCTATTAGACTTCTTTCCCTACAATCTACAATCATGTTAAGTTTATCTTGTCCAAAATTAACCTTACAGACTTATCTAAATTTGTCCTAACTTTCATATTGCCTGCTCCAGCCTATAGTACTATCTTTCACCCATATCATTTGGATACCTACTACCTTCACAACTCTTCCTTTCTGTCATTCTGAATTTGTCTATATTTACGGCATATTTCCTCAAGAGATCATCACTTCTCCATCTTAATCCATTGTTCTGAATTGGAACACCACTTCTAATCTAGACTATTTCAGCTGTTTCCTAATCATTTTCTCTAATTCCAGCCTTTTACCTTCAAATGCATTATTTACACTGTAACTACAGAGCCATATATAAAATAGAAAACTGACCACTTCACTCTCTTGCCTAAAATATGTCCTTCCATTCCCAGCAACTGCTCACTTGGTTTTCTCTGTCTAGAGTGTCCTTCCTCTCTTCCTTCTGCCATTACCTACAAGTTTCTTGACTCCATTCTACTTACACAATAATATAAAACACTAATGATAATACTAATAATCAGGAGCCTACCTGTTGCCTTATCCAGGGACTCTTCTCTCAGCCCCACCCAAATGAATGAGTTAGATGACCCACCTCTCTAGCATTTTAGTTAACATTATTTGCTATTATCCTATTAGTCTTTCTTCCCTGTTATATTGTGGTTGTCTCAAGGTCAGAGACCATGTTTCATTAATGTTTGCATTTCCAGAATTTAGTTTAGGGCCATGTATATATTAGGAAGTCAAAACATTTTGGCGAATGAATTAATAAAAGAAAACTTCTCTTTCTTCCAGCTACAATTTCCCTCCCTCTTGTTCATCTCCTCCCATGTCTCTTCCCTTGCTTCTCTATGTCTTCTCTTCTTTATTCCTATCTAGCTACTATATTCTCTTCATCACATTCTCCTATCACTTTAGGATATCCTAATATCTAATCTAGTTTCTTTATTTTACACCATCATATCCTTTGTCTTCTCAACTTTTCTCCTCTTTTTTACCTCTTTTCTCATATTCTCTCTCTTTTCAACATTCTCATTTCCCCAATATATATGCCTCTATGTACTCTATTTAATTAGTCTTCCCTCCCCTCTCCATCCTCATCTTCCCACTTCTATCCACTTTCCTTCTTTATTATTTTATCCCCTACTCTATGCTCATTTCTTCTCTATGTTCATTCCCCTCACTGTCTCTCATCTCCTCTCTCATCCAACTTCTCTCTTAAGAAATTATTATTACCCTATTTTCCTTGACCATCTTCCCATCTTCCAAATTATTGTAGGGAAAACACCAACAAATAGCAAATTTGAAGTAGCGAAGGACTAGTATACAGACAAACACACTTCATTTGTTCACCACGTATTTACCAGGCATGCATTATTTGAGGTTTGTTCTGCAAAATAGCAAATACACCAATTCTAAATAGCCATAGAAGCTCCACTATACAAAATTAACACTCATTAATGTTGGAGAAGCGTCAGGAAGTGATAACTGACAGAAGAGGAACAATCAAAAGCATAAAAAGCAAACCCAAGAACCAAGAAAGATTTTTAGTATTGGGGAAAGAATCTTTACTGAAAATGCTTTCTTTTTCTTTTTTCTTTTTTTCTTAATGCTTTCAAACTTATTTTTTTTAACAGCAAAATTCAATGCCTAATAACTCTATGACAAAAATAATTCATGAAATACATAAAATTGTGATGTTTTTATCCATTGGGAGGTAGAAAAGTATGAAATATATTTTATATTTTATGAAGATTTCTCTCTATATATATGCACACACATATGCACACACACATAAACACCATAGATTGATAGATAGACAGATAGATAGATAGATAGATAGATGGAATCTTAAATTGTTTGTAAAATTCACTTATCATCATCCTCAGCATCCTAAAGTAATGTGGCATAAAATAAATATTACTGTATTTTTAAGTTTATGTTTATAAAACACTGTATGTTTCACAAAATACCCATAGTTATCTCATTTGATTCTGACAGCTCTGCATCATAGGGATAGTTTGTTGCTTCAGTTAAACCTAGTCGATTCTAATTATCAGTGTTCATGCCTGTGTATATGTTTTTGTGAATCTGTGTATTTAAGTGTCCTTGAATATGTATGTCCTTCTGTGTTATTCCACATGTGCCTTTCAGTATGCATACATTTATAAATTACAAACATATACCTCTGTGTTTCTAAAAATGTTCATCTGTACATCTCCCTATTTATGTGTTTATTAGAATATATATGTCTGTGA